CCCGGATGCCGCCGCCCTCTGGCGCGTGCTGGGGAGCACGTGCTCGGGCGCACGTGCTCGGGAGCACGTGCTGGAGGGCGGTGGCATCCGGGGTGTCGTCGTTCCTGCACGGGGGGGGTCCAAAGAGCGCTTTGGGGGAGGGGGGTTTTCCAGAGAGCCCCCCATGGGCCTCGGAACCTCGTCAAAGCAGGGGGTGCGAAGCCCCTGGGGGGCCCCTCCTGGAAAGCCCCCTCTCCAAAAACACCTGTCTGAAACCCTCCGGTCGTCGACCTACACGACGAGGCAGGCGCAGGTGTCTCCAGGGCCCTGTGGCCGATCCGTCGGCGGCGCGCCGCCGAGGATAGTCCAAGCCCCGAGGAGCGGTGCCCCAGCGACCGAGGGAGCGTCCGGGAAGCAGTCGGCACGGGTCTCGCTGAGGCGCCGGCCTCATTTCTGCTCCCGAATCGTTCCGAATCGTGCTCCCGCTGCAGCGTGGGCCTCATTTTCGGATCGGTATTTTGCCTCCGTCGTTCAGGATGGCGTTCTCGCCCCAGCGCGGGCCTCTTTCTCGCGCGCCCATCCGCCCGCCACCACCGCGCCGCACCACGCCCCGCCCGCCGCACGCACACCCACCGCCACTTCCACCCACCAACGCACGCACGCACGCACGCGCACCACCACCGCGCACCGCCACCACCACCGCACTACCCCACCCACCACCACCACGCTACACCGCGTCACACCACATCACACGCACGCACACACAGACACACACGTACGCACGCACGCACGCACGCGCACACACATACACACACACACGCACCCACACACACACACCCACACACACGCACACACACAGACACACACACAGACACACACACACACACACAACCACCGCCACCACCACCACCGCCATAACGCACGTACGCACCTGGCCCACCACCAAACCACCAAGACGCCACACCACGTCACACCACAGCACACGCGCACACACGCACACACACACACACACATACACCACCACCACAACAACAAAGCAGGAGGAGGAGGAGGAGGAGGCGGAGGAGGAGGAGGAGGAGGAGGAGGAGGAGGAGGAGGAGCAGGAGGAGGGGTAGGAGGAGGGGGAGGGGGGGATGGGGGGAGGGGAGGGAGGAGGGTGAGGAGGGGAGGAGGAGGAGGAGGAGGAGGAGGAGGAGGAGGAGGAATAGGAGGAGGAGGAGGAGGAGAGGAGGAGGAGGCAGAGGAGGCGCAGGAGGAGGGGGAGGAGGAGGGGGAGGGGGAGGGGGAGGAGGGGAGGCGGGGGAGGTCTGACATCCTACCCCTCCCTCCCATCCCTTGCGCTTATTTTCTCTATCCGCGGACGCGTGTCGTAGCGGACCTGTGGCTCCGCGCGCGTGTGCGTAGTGGGTGGTGGTGCGCGTGCGTGCGTGCGTGTGTGCGTTGTTGTGGCCTCCTCCTCCTCTCCTCCTCCTCCTCCTCCTCCTCCTCCTCCTCCTCCTCCTCCTCCTCTCTTCCTCCTCCTCTCTCCTCCTCCTCATCCTCCTCCCTCCTCTCCTCCTCCTCCTCTCCTACCTCATCCTCCTCCTCCTCCCTCCTCCTCCTCCTCCTCCTCCTCCTCTCCTCCCCGTCCTCGGTGCCCCCCCCATCCCTCCCTCGCTCCCTCCTCGGCCCCTCTCCTGCCCATCCTGGAGGGGGTCAGGGCAAGAGGGGCAGGCGAGCCGGAGGAGGGAGGACTCGGCCACCGATTGTTTTTTCAGTGTGGTTAACCTCCCCTCGAAGGATATATGTATTTAGGATGTCCACTCCAAGGATTCATCACAAATGTGTAGCTCTTTGATTGTGCTCATGGAATGCCGTTGTGTATCCGTCCTCCTAGAAGGACCTCGTCGTCACGGCTTGGACCACGTCAGAATCCAGACCCATAGCGTGACCCATGACCAGTAGCGCATATCCGCGCATGTGCAAGCCAGCGATGTGAATGTCAACGATCATGTGTATCGTAATTTCAGTAGTGCTGTGCACATGTTACGAGCATGCCCATGTTGCGCACGTTCGTCCTAAAATATCGCAGTTTTTACAAGGACTGATTGCCTGTTCTTTTCAAATTGGGCATCTCATTCAAGACTTCCATACACTCAAAGACCAGAAACTTCAACACCATATGTAACAACTGCAAGAATGGAGCGCATATCCTTTTCAGAATGGGGCTCGCTTGAGACGTCCTACCTGTGTACCTCGCCATCGTTCCTCGGAGCCTGGTTGCTTGTTTGAGTCGCACCTGCGCTGCATAACTTCATATGTCCTCCGAGAATTCAGGAGGCGATCCGGAGGTGTTTGCTGGTTGTTGGATGCATTTCACGCGAGTAAGTGTCATGTAGATTGCGGAGTCGGCATGTGATTAAATCTGATTAGTTGTGTTTGTTTGCTTGCTCATCTACCAACGAGTCTAACAATACCGTATGCTCTCGCCTTGAGGTTGCAGTTTTGCTAAGTCCCGACGTTGCCGTGTAAGCACCAGCAGGACAGCCGCATCTCTCAGGGGTGGCCAGGAGTATGGACCAGAGGACGACCACTTTCAATAGTGTTCAAATGACCCATTGTATCAACTGCAGAAATGATGCTTCTTGTGCAGTCGTGGTATTTGCTGGATGAATTCCCTTCCATGGTTCTCTCGAGTTCTCCAGGTCGTTTCTAGCATTCATCCCTTTATCTCTTCTTCAATTGTTTGAGTCGACGCAGCTTTGCCTGTCGCAGATGTACGCGCCGTCTGGGCTTCGGTCCATTGCGTGCGCTCGCCTACGGTATGTCGTTCTGGTTTATGTGGCGCCTTTCTGTCTCCAGTAGCAGTGTCAACCGTTTCGTGGCCAGATGCGATCGTCGAGTGTTGTCTTCTTTTGGATTCATCGTGCGTTTGCTTGATTGCGTTCGGCATCTCAGTCTGTGCGCTCCCTCGCTCTGGTTATGTCTCGTTCTCTCTCTCTCTCTCTCTCTCTCTGTCTCTCCTCTCGCATTGATTCCTACATCTTTCCGGCTGCCTGCGGCAAACCCCGCCATTGTGTTTGTGCAACAGCTTGAGGTTTACTTGCAGACTGCGCCAAATTCAGACAGGGTGCTGAACTGGATCGGGTCTTGAACTCCTCTTCTTCGTCTGCATCCTTGTCCTCCTCGTTGTTCTTCCTCGCTCCTGCTTACCGCCCACCCCGTCCGCCTCCTTTCCTTTTCTTGTCAATGCAGATTGGAAGCTCAAGTCATTAGAGGGGCCTACGAATTTGGGAGCTTTGGGATGTCTCTTTGGGACTTCTAAGGGTCCTCGCGGGGACGTCTTGGGGATCTCGGGGGGTCTCTCCGTTTTGGGAGCCTCTGTGGTCGTTTTGGAGTTATTTTGGGCCGTCTCAGGATCACCTCAGGACGTCTTGAAGACCTCCTGAGCTACCCTGGTGCCCTTTTGTGCTGCCTTGGAGCTTTGTTTCTTGGGAGCCTTTTTGGACAGTCTTGGTCTCTCAGAAATCTCAAGAGGCCAATATATTCACATCAGTCAAAGTCCATGGAAAGTAATGTTGTTTGCCTCTCTTGGGAGCCCTCTTGGGGCCCTCTTGGCCGTTTGGGCCACCTTGAGGCCCCCTTGCACCGTCCCGAGACCATCCTGAGTAGTCTGGGGGCAATCTTGGGTGCCTTTTCGGCCATCTTGTGGCGAGCTTGGCCGTCTTGGGGCGGTTTGGGGCTGTCCTGAAGCCATCTGGAGCTGAAAAGAGCGCTGGAGAGCAAATTCAGGGATGGGGAGTCTCAGACGACACGTGCGACGCAGAGAACGCCAAAGAAATCTTAGCAGACACCAGATGAGCAGAACGGAAAGAGCGCTGGCGAACTGTACAGAGCTTTGGCCGCAGCGGGTGGGTCCGGGTGGGGGCGTGGCGGGGCAAAATTTCTAACATGCCCTCCGGGGGATAATTCTGACGGCCGTTACAGCTCAGGAGCAACCCATTTGGCCTTCAAGACGGCCAAAGATGCCCCCAAGACGACCTCAGGAAGACCCAGAGGACCCGAAGACGTCATGGCTCAAGAGGTCCCCCAGACGCCCCAACAGGACCCCCAAGGAGTCCGGATGAGGCAAAAAACCTGAATGTTCCTCAAGTGTTTGATTTTCTCGGCCCAAGAACGACAAAATACGGCCCTGGGAGCCTCCGAGATCGCTCCAGCCTCCGAGCCTCAAGCCGAGCCCTGCAAGAGGAAGCATGTGTACAAAGAGCGGATACATGGTGATCCCCCCGCGTGGAAGCTACACAAAGCCCTCTCTTGGAGCCTTCTTGGGTCTCGCTTGGGCATTCTTGGGGCTTTCTACGAGGACCCGACGTGTAACACACATTTCACACAAGACGCTCTCCAATAAGGAGGCGGCTTGTTGTCAATGTGTGTATTGAATCGTTTGCCCTCTTGGAGGCCTCCTAGGGCCCTCAGAGAGCCCCCGCAGGGCTCCAAGAGGGCTCCAAGAGGGGCCAGACTTCTAGCACTAATTGATCACAAGATGCTCTCCAATAAGGAGGCGGCTTGTATTAAATGTGTGTTGAATTATTGGCCCTCTCGGAGGCCTCTTGAGGGCCCTCAGAGGGCTCCCGCAGGGCCCCAAGATTGGCTCCGAGAGGGCCCGAAATTTAACGCAGCACCAGCAACAGCACCACGGGCAGCCCAGGCAGCACCAGTAGCATCAACGCCAGCAGCAACAGCAACATCTGCAGTAACAATAACAACGAGAGAGGCAGCAAGGAAAAGATGACCCCAAGATTGACACAAAAGGACTGTGAAAGGATCACAAGATTACCCCTGTCGCTCCAAGATCCCCCCCTGCTGAGCAATGACCCCAATATGACCTCAGAGCGACCCTGCGGCCCCAAGAGAACACCGAGACGAACCCATTCTCTTCCGATTGAACTAAGATTACCGCGTGACCCCAATGTTATTACGAGGTGGCCCCGGCACGACCCCATGAGTCCAAGACGACTTCGAGATTGCCCCAAGATGACCCATTTTAGCCCTAGTTGACCCCAAGATTGAGTCAACATGGCTCCAATGTGACTCCGATGCGCTTCTCCCATTTGCCCTTGCTCTTGACTTGCACCGATAGGACGGATGGGGGTGCTGGCCCTCCGCCCCCTCGTCGTCGTCGTCGTTGCTGTCAGCCTTGCCCCCTGGCCCCATACATAGCAGAAAACCGAATCCCCGACACACATCGAATCAATAGTTCTCTGATCTTTGGGGGGGAACGCTGGTTCGCGGCCGTTCGATTCAGCCTGTTTCAGCCCGGCCAGTTCTGGAACTGTCCCGCAATCGGGGATGAAACATTGCGTCGGAGTAACTCCAGGAAGGATCTGGCAACGGGTTTGTTTAACGCATGACCTCACATACTGCTTATAATCCCCATCAGTTCCACAATCCCCAAACTTCGTTTAATTTCCATAGTTCCTTCCCATGATTCTCACACTTCCCATACGTCCCATAATTCCCAGAACCCCAGAATTTCCAAGAATTCCCACAATTCCAAACATTCCCAGAATTCCCATACTTCCAATACTTGTCATACTTCCCATAGTTCCGATTATGTCCACAAGTGTCCTCATTCCCACCGTCCGCGTACGTCCCCTACCTCCCATACGGACCATAACTCCCATATTTACCATCATTCTCAATAAGTTCCATTATTTTTGCAACCCACATCATTCCCTTCATTATCATAATCCCCAAAGTTCCCATCACCCTGGTAAGTCCCGTAAGTCCCATAACTCTCATAACTCTCAGAATGGTTCTAAGAGGCCCGACAACAACCCACAGATGTTCGCGGAAGGCTCTCCGGAAACATCTTCCGGGAGCAGATGTTGCCTCCGTAAACGAGGCCCGAATAGACTCCCGAAGATGTGCCCCGAAGGTTTTCCGAGGACACCATCAAACCCATCTTTCCCCATCCTCATTCTGCTCCACCTCCTGCTCATCCACCCCCCTTCCTATCCCTCCTCCTCATCATCATCATTATCATCCTCCTGCTCCTGCTCCTGCTTCTGCTCGTCCCCCCAAGATGCTCCAGACAAGCTCCAGATAGGCCTCTGGCTCGCTCCAGAGGAGACCCGAAGAGCCCCAGGAGGGATCATGGAGGCTCCGAAGAAGATCCCAAGAGGCCCCCAAGAGGTTCCAAGAGGACCGACGAGACCCCCGAAGATGTTGCCCGCAGGCTCTTCGGGAACACCTTCCAGGAATATCTGGAAGGGGCCTCCCGTAGGTTATCCGCCGTCACGACGCCCCCGAATGTTCCAGAGGTTGCCGTCGTCGCGGTCGTCCAAAATCGAGTTTGCAATTGGGAGCGTTTGTGCTCAAACCTAAGCAGGCGCGAAGAGCGCGTGGTTCAGACCAATGATGGCGACGGAAGCAGGACATGTCGACTTCGCGGTGACGACGGGGCTCTCCAGAATTACAGCTACTGAGACTAACCATGGTGGCTGGCAGCCCTGGATCAGCTCTGACTAGAACCTACACGCGCGCGAAGCGAGCGCGTGAGTCTGGTACACACGTTTATATTACATGTACAAGTGTATTATATGTGTGTATGTGTATATATATATATATATATATATATATATATATGATCCCGGGGGAGCAGGCCCGGGGCCCGAAAACAGCTGCCCCGACCCTCCATGGGGGGACCGGGCCTAATTTTCCCTGTGCTTTTAAAAGGGTTTCCGCGTCCTGGGCCTCGGAGGCCGCCGCCTCCGACCCCCCGTGGGAGGACGGGGCGGCCAGGGAGGTCCAAAATAGTCCAGGAGGGCCTCCAAAACTCGACCCTCCCGCTTGAAGAGTGCCCCAGGAGGCCCCAAGGAGCCCCCAAGAGGCCCCAGGAGGCCCCCAAGAGGCACCCAGGAGGCCCAAACGAGGCCTAAAGAGGCCACAAAACAGCCCCGAGGAGGCCCCACAACGGTCCCAAAACGGCTACCGAGAAGCTGCGAAACTGCCTTCACGACGTCCCCGACAGGCCAACCACGAGATCCAAACCAACACCCATGAGGCCTCTGACCCACCACCCAGGGCACGGTGGCGGGAGCAGTGACAGCACTTGTGCACAGCATGTTCTGGCGGGAGCCTTCCGGAACACGCTGCAGGAGGAGGAGGAAGATCAGGAGGAGAGAGAGCTGGAGTGGCAGGAGGAGGAGGAGGAGGAGGAGGAGGAGGAGGAGGAGGAGGAGGGGGACGAGGAGGAGGAAGAGGCCTCCAAGACAGCTCCAAGATAGCCGAAGAGGCTTCCAAGAGGGCCCTGGGCGGCCCACGAGGGCCCCAAGGCGGTGCCTGAGGCGCCCAAGACGGCCCGAGAGGGCCCCAAGACGGCCCCAAGAGAGGCCCAAGAAGGGAAATACGAACCGAGAATCCGAGCTTCCTACCCCGAGATGTTCTCGGGAAGTCCCCAGAGGCGCCCAATCGGATCCAAGAGGCCCCCAAGAAGCTCCCAAGAGGGCCGACGAGGTTCCAAGAGATCTCCCAAGGTGG